GCAGTGTCAACTCTCAAGTCTGACTGCTGTACAGGGGGTCTAGCCATATTGGTGTCGAAAAGTATTCTACATACACTACCGCTTTTGCGTAATTGTATTGTCGAAAACGCTTCGTTCGTAGCCAAGAGACATGTCGATACATTACCGCAAAGTCGACAGCGTAGATGCGAGCTGCTGTTCGTAGCACCTTATTCCGTCATATTGTCTCTGGATTAAATGTATTCCTAATGTCACTTTTATAAACAAATAAAAGTTAAAACTTTACAATATTATTGTAAATTTGCAATTGGAAGCTACAAAAGGGACATTAGAATGTCAGCAAGGTCGGAACAATTTTCGATTTAAGTGGAATTTACGGAAGGTGCAAAGTGAATATATGAATTTTAATTGCATGTTTAAATTAATTATGGTTTGTTTCATGTTTTCTCAGAAATTTAAGGCTACAAATAAATACAATATTTTGAAATTGCATAATCGCGATATATAATAATTAGTAGTACTCATACTTTGATATTTTTAGGATTTGACCTCACAACTAATCTACAAAATGAAGAAGCAACATATTTTGTTACCGCTTAGAAGAAACAATAAAAATAGTACTGTGGATTGATAAATAAAAAGTGAAAATAAGGTTGACTAGAAGTTGATAAAGTCCAAGGAATTAAAAAACAATAGAAAAAAAACGTAGACTAGTGTGATCACTGAAATTAGAGTTTGATTTAAGCTTTAATTAGGTTTGGTGTTTGTGCTTGAACATTTTTAATGTCAATTTTAAAGCAGATTTATATATAAGTGTAGATTTTATTAGTGATTTGCTACTAGTTGGAATTATCTATGTTTATGTCCAACAAACAATTTCAGTTTAAGTTAGAGTCATAAAAGTTGATTGTTTATAATATATTTATACTTTTAGAAAGTGAGAATTGAAAAACAGCAAGTACCTACTCAATGAAATGAAAAGAGGAATTAATAAAAATTATAAAATAGAAACTTAGTCTGGTATGAAATTATAACCCTTAATCAACCTTTGATTCCATATTGATGCTCCAACATCTTAGATATAATAGATATAAATTTAAGTTTGATGCTGATTTTAAGTTAATATTTATGTCAATTAACTTTTGGTTATATCAGTGATTTGCTACTAGTTAATATGTAAATGCAAAATCTGTTTAAGTAAGAAATGAATAAACATTGTATGTTATGTATTTGTCAGTTTTATTTTTGGTAATTTACCTATGTCTTCTTTAGTAGGAAAAGCCATTAAAGTGGTTCACAATATTAGTTTATTTTACAAGAATATACAGATAATGCATATATGAATTACCCATACCTACTAATAGTTAGGAATATTAAACAAACAGGTAGCAAAATAAAAATGTTTCAGTAATGGTTATTTTTTATTAAAATAAGGCACCAAATATCTTCCTTAACATAATGCAGTCTACATAGAAAAATAAGCATATGTAACAACTTATTAAACAATACAGACATTACTACTGAACACACGCAGGTGCACCAAATTAAATGCATTACTACCTAATGATGTATTCATATATGTAGATAATTAACTAATGTAAGTGTTAATTTGCAGCAATGTCAATATCTTGTTTGTGTGCTGTTATATACAAAAAATTGTTCAATTCATAAAACCTAACGTTAGATGTTGTGATGATTTCATAAAATTACTATGATACCTACAGTTACTATGAATACATCCTGGGCGATTAAAAAAATAGTGATTGTTTCCTTAACACAACAATTGTAAATAATAATAGTTATTGTAAAGATATAATTCTTCCCAAAATCTACAAATGCAGTTTGTTTATAATAATATCTCATTAACATTCAAACTGCTGAACTTATTAAGATTAAATGTGGAAGAACATAGTTTCAGTTACTGTTTCCTGTTCTTGAGGTAATGTTACTTAACCAACCATTATTTCATACTCCACTTGTCTTATTTTTTACATTATTCATAAAATGCTTCGTTCCCCATTATCAAATTCATTTTCAGGTACATAATTTAACACTTTAATTAATTAAAAGATAAGACTTTAATAAAACTTGTCCATTTGTGGTTTTTTTAATACTTTTAGTTGTCTTTTTCTGAAAATAAAATATTTTAGTTAGTACTTTGATCAATAGGTAACTTTAATATTAAAAGTCTTTACTTCATTCTAAACTTAAAAATATACTTAATTTGTCACTTTGCTGCTTATTGTCAATTAAAGTTTTTAATAACCAAACAATGTCAGTAACTCCCAAAGGACTTGAATTAAAACTTCTCATTCATTAACAATATTATAATAACTTCTCTAGTATATTAACTTAGTAAATAATTAAAGAAAATATCTGCTTACCATTAAGTACTTAGTATTGCTCACTATATTTTATATTTCCAAAGTTCATGAAGTAAAAATCCACTTTATTTGATTAATTTAAATCAATATTATATCATTAGCTTCTATTATAATTACAATAAAATATATTTAGAACTTCTAATAATGTTCATTAGTGACTGCTTTCTCATCTGAAATATACAAATATTATGTACAATCATTTTACTTTGTGATTACATAATATAAGCAATATTAAATGGTATATGTATTTTTCAAATTAAAGAAAAATAAAAGATATCCAATATAACTAGGATTTACCTCTACTAATTTGCTGATTTTCTTGATATTTTCATATTTATCTGTGTCTATTATGTTATCCTCGCATTGATTCATAGAAAAACTAAAACTCTTAACTTAAAAATATTGACTCTAGTTTAAATTATTATAATTACACGAGAACGTTAAAAAAGACAGATAACAAATTAAAACGGTAACGATTCGATAACGATGCGCCCAAATTTGGGGTTGCTGGGGTGGTGAGGAGGGGGGAGGGGTGTAGTAATCACCCCCCACAAATTTTGCGCGCCGGAAACAAAAAAATTTTTTAAAAATCTCACCTATTTATCTACTCCAACTCGGCTTCTTGGTCGCCTTCGGCGACTAAATATTCATATACTAACCTAACCTAACCGATCTAAATAATATTAGTTTTTTTGGACAGCTCCGATCTAAATAATAATTGTTTATTCAGCCCTCGGCAACTCGGCTTCTTGGTCGCCTTCGGCGACCAAATATTCATATACTAACCTAACCTAACCGATCTAAATAATATTTGTTTTTTTGGACAGCTCCGATCTAAATAATAATTGTTTATTCAGCCCTCGGCAACTCGGCTTCTTGGTCGCCTTCGGCGACCAAATATTCATATACTAACCTAACCTAACCGATCTAAATAATATTTGTTTTTTTGGACAGCTCCGATCTAAATAATAATTGTTTATTCAGCCCTCGGCAACTCGGCTTCTTGGTCGCCTTCGGCGACCAAATATTCATATACTAACCTAACCTAACCGATCTAAATAATATTTGTTTTTTTGGACAGCTCCGGCGCTACGGGAAATGCAGCCCCTCCACCCTTGCGTACCTCTTCCTCCGCGCCTCCGATTATTTATATACACCCTAGGGGTAAGGCAGACAAGACCACGTGGATAGTGGGGTGCTCTGATTCGGTTTTGGGTACTTTTTGAATAATTTAAAAATTTTCGGAACCATACACTAATTGAAACATGAAGTTAATGTAATGTATGTACATTTGACAAGTAATGATTAAATTAGGTTCAACTATAAAATTAACAAATGAAAAAATAATCGATCCGATTAATTTACCGAGAATGTCACATCACTTATAACCAACAGAAAACGAGAATGACACATATCTTATAAGTTATAACCAATAGAAAAGTAGATAATGGTGGATTGTTTACAAATTTCAATACATTTCACAAAACTTTAAAATTTTTTTAAAAATACTTTGACGCATTTCCGGCAGCTAAAGTTACTTGGAGGTGTTCCAATCAAGGTCCCCGAGGACTCCTGCATAATCAGTATCATCAGATTCCAACGCACTATTATCGCACCCAACCCATTAAAACCATTTCGTTAAAATGTCCAATATATGACATGTTTTTAAAACGGTAGCCATTAAAGATGGCGATAGTTGTACTGAATTATTGCAAACAGCAGCTTTTGAGATCACGCTAAAACATGGCGGAGAAACGCCGTTTTTTCTACACTGCCGAAACATTAATTGGCCGTTGGCTACCGAATAGCGTAAGCGTTAATGTGTGTCTTTTCGTAGCACTGTCATGGCGTCGCTTATTGTATCCCGACTCACGCCTTTAGGGCCTAGGCTACCGACTGTCGACACGAGCTGTCATTTTCATACAAATTTAGTTTTCGACTTTCTACATACACTACTGTTAAGCCATCTTGGCTAGACCCCCTGTATGTAAGCTAACGTCAAAAACATTCACATGTTTTCAGACAATTATCACAGGCTGCACTAAATTACATAGACTATACTGTTTAACCAATATTGAATTATATCTATATATACGTCTATACGTTTAGATGTTTAGTTTTTAGCTGGATTTGCCCAAACATTCAACTTCAATTTAAAAATACAAGAAGAAGTTTCCATAGCTTCTGACTAAGTTTAAAAACTCCGGAGTTTTTAACTTAACTTTTTAACTTTCATTTAAAAAACACAAAAAAATATAACTCGAAAACTACAAAAAATCGCGGAACATACATGGGGTATTTTCGTACAACCCCAGGTGTGAGGAATCTAAAAAAAAAATATTGACGTCACTAGCTGGACCACCCTGTATAATAAATTAGTATATAAAGTAATTTTCGATTGATTTATGATACATGCATATGTTCCAATCTTAAGAATCCGATGTATCACCACATTCTTCATAGGTACAAGTAACTAACAAGTTCATTAATAGAATATTAAACAGTATCAAGATCATTTAATCTAATTTCCCCAGTATTTCCCACAATATTTTTATTTCCTTATTTGCCATGAGATTTCGGTAGAACTATACAAACTATTTTCTGTCTAATCAAATATTGCTTTTTAATAAAATAAAATCATAGTTCATTATGGGATTGGGCTGGTTTCACGTCACTTATGTAATTGCCAACGAAGGGGGGAATAACGCCGTCTTCAGAAGCAAGAGCGCGATAGCGAGCACGAAGATGATGCGCAGACGCTTTGGGTTGCCTTGATCTCGTGAAGATACCCTTTTTATTACCACCTACGCGGGTTATAACTGTAAAATTAGATAGATAATAAATACATCAGATATTACAAATAGTGGAGTCTTCTATATTATATCGTCTGAGGCAAGTAGCAGAAATCTTAAAATGGCCGGATTTAAATGTTAGTTCTGCAATAATGATCTATCTAAATATCCAATAATACTACCGACTATTAAGCTAATATTTTATATTAAATGGATTAAAGATATTGCCTACCCTACTTTTTTTGGCGAAGCAATAAATACTTCGCACAGCACATAAAAAAATCATCGATGACGGCTCTATCTCTCAACCCCCGTTTCAAAATAAGGGACTACAAAAAAAGCTAGTTGTTATGGACAGATTATACATGTATTCTTTACTTAAAATTGTGATAGGTACACCTACAGAATAATACATACTTTGCGTAGTTTTAAAATCAGCAAAGTTCCAAATAAATTCTCCAGAAAAAAAACCAGCATGCCGAAGCTTATCAAAGGCTTTGAAATGTTCTGACATCAGCGCTACTTGATACTCTTCAGACCACACGTATTCAGGCATCTAAAATTTGATTAAGTTAAAAAAACAATTATTTACGTATAGTATAGAAACGTAACCTTTTTACAAACTACGTTAAACTAACTTTACAATAAAAATCAGTTGTCTGTAAAGTCGGTTTACTGACTATAGTTGAACGTGACAACGTCATAAGATCATGTGGCTCTTTGTCGCTTGTTCCGCGCTCTCGCTTGCACTTCAAGCATTAAATGGAACGCCTCAGAGCGAGCGAGTCGTGTTTTTTCGTGCGTGCAGCCGGCTCCATCGAATTATAAGACGTTGTCACGTCAAAAACTACTTGCATGCGAAAGCAGGAGTAAAACTTTATGAGAGTTGTAAAGTGAATAAAACTATGTAAATGGCGCCAATTAACTAGCAAAAGATTCTCCTTACCAAATGCAACCCTGCAATGGTATCAGCGCCATACTCTGTCATAATGACTGGCTTATTATGCTCCCTATGCCATGCTGTTGCCTCCTCGACTACGTTGCCAGTTATCACCTCTAACCTTCCCGTATCGTGGTACCAGGAGTTGTAACGGTTAAAACAGATCACATCTAAATGTTGACCCTGAAATAATTTAAATGAATTTTCAAGAAGCTTTTGATTTATCATCATAATTAATTTTATGAGTAGTACAGTCTCGGTCGTTCACTTCGTATTTTTTATTCATTGCGTTAAGGACGGAGTCCCTTACTTGGTAACCACGTAAATATATCTAGTATAGAGCCTACTAGATGATTACAAACAATCATGTAAATGAATTTATGTGAAATCAATGTTATAAATGACATCTTCATTAAAGGAAAGAAAAGATCACCTGGAAAAAGAAAGAGAGGGCACGGTGCACGATGGGCTGACGAGCTTAAAGTAGTTGGTGGGGAAGATAGGGATAAAATCCTTCAAGATAGAGAGATTTCAAGGGGTCCTTGAAAAATAATATAATTATTTTTATATAAAATTTAAACTGTGTATATCTTTTGTAAATATAGATAAATGTTTAAAGAAATTATAAATGAGGCTTAATTATTAAATGTTTTAAATAATTGGTTTGGGTTTCTACGTCGCTAAACATACACTGTATCTATGTAATATATACGTATATTATTTATTATAGTATATATTTATCCCTTGATTAATACATACTATAAATCTGTAAGTGTAATCGTGTTAATCGTACCAAAAAATAACATAAGAAAGTTGTCATTTTTTTTGTCGTTTCAAGTCCATAGGAACAAAATGAGGGATTGAAATATAAAATAAAACAGTATATTTGCATAATTTATTTCACATTATATCTCTCTTAACATTAGAGCACGAGCTTGTATGTAAAATCAATGAACAAATTGGAATTTATTTTCGAATTAATGTTACGAGGACGGATAAGTGGATGGAAAACTTTTTATATTATGGTTTTTAATGGTGACGGAATTCTGACAAATAACAAGCCCCATGGGGTGGGGGAGGGTATGCATTGATGAGTGATGACCCACACGACTCCTGAATTCCCCCTTAAGTATACAGAACCTTTAACATATATGCAATTTAGTTCAAATAACATGTTACGTTTTGTATATATTGCAATCATTTATTCAACTTTTTATGTTATAGGTGGGTTAAAACTAAAAATAGACTTAGATAATCCTAGACCATTTACAGTTAAATGCATTGCTAATTTGTACTTTTCAGCACAAACTATAATATGTCATTGTTAGCTTAACGGTTTACATAATACGGTTTACACAGCCGTACTCAGAGTCGTTAAATAAAAGATTACTGAAGAATCAACTTCATAAATTCAAACGAAAACTAGTCTTTCGCCGGTCAAAGTAACCGGGCGTTCAATGTTCCGCGTAAACTGTTTTCATATTATATAATGGTTATAATTACTACTACTACCATTCAAGATTATATTGACAATTCTGAATAGGGCTGTTAGATTAAAAAAACTATCCTTAATTATAAAAACGTAAAGCACTGTTTTACTACTTTTTGTTTCTTTCTCAACTGTATATATTTGGAAAGAGATCATACTATTGCTAGTACTTGTCAACTACATATTATTGGAAAGAGATCAGAGCTTTTGTTTAAACAGTGTAGACTTAAGATGTTTTTATAAGGGGGTAAATAAATTGGACTTGATGTAGGGCAATTAAATATACAACTTTTTACGTAATTAATAAACGCAATATGAGATAGCAAAATAGTTCTGTCTTATTCTAAATTAAAAAGTCGTTTGAATTGCGTATTACGTTTACGAGTAACTGATCTATAAATTATATTTATACTTAATCCTTTTCAGATAATGAATACTTTAAATGGCAGTATTATTATATGTATATATTTCTAACGACAGACATTTGACTCTTGTCTACTATGCACTATACTAATATTATATTGAGATGAATGTTAAGCATGGATCTTTAATGATATAGTTTCTTCATTGTAGCGCTTTTGCGGCGTTAGGATGTCGGGATATCAAAATTCAATATTAAATTCGCAATCATTATATAAAATTGTTTCATTATAACTTTGAACGAAGTAATGGTAATCATGTCTTTAATACCTTGTATTAAACAAGTCTTTAACGACAAAATTGTTTTCTATATCAAAAACCTATAAAATGATGAATTTCAATTTTAATCAACCTTTATTTTAAAATTAGCTCCATTAGCAGATGCTAAGCTAATTTTAAAATAAAGGTTCTATTTGTTATGGGACAGTTTTTGTTTACTCAATGAAGCTATTGTCTTGATTTTTGAGTTACGTATGAATTGTCTTATATAAACATTTGATAGCGTTAATTATCTGAAAATCTGTCAAAAATTTAAATTTAAACCAGTTCAATTTAATCTATATACAGCACATAGAAAAACAAAGTTTAAAATATGTCGAATGTAATTTATAGAGACTTGTTATCACTTTTATTCTACAATTCCTCATGCGCCGGTGGTTTATGATCACTGATGTAATACGCGATGTCCGGTGGCGGTGCGCCTGACTCCGCCGCTGCCAAAGAGTGGTATCTTGCGCGCAAGTGATGCGCAGACGCCTTAGGTTGCCTAGATCTTGTGAATATACCCTTCTTGTTCCCACCCACTCGAGTTATCGCTGCAAACAAAGACAAATCTTCCATTTGGTGAACTATTAATTGGACTAAGCTAAAGAGAATGCGTACGATTTAGGGCAAAAGGTCTCCCATTTAAGAACATAATATATAATAAATATACTCTAGATGAAACTAATATGATTACTCATCAGCCACTAATGTCTTCAAACCGACCAGTCATTGATAAGACTTGTAAACAGGTATCAGGACAGAAATAATGTTATCTTTCTACCTTCATTCTAAGTTCTAACCATATATAATTTGTCAATAATATGCGTATCTCATTCTATTAATTAATCAAGAAATATTACAGATTTTTTAAAAATAATACATACTTTGTGTTGTTTTAAAATCTGCGAAGTTCCAAATAAATTCGCCGGAGAAAAATCCAACTCGCCGCAAACGATCAAACGCTTTGAAGTGCTCCGACATCAACGCTACCTGGTATTCCTCGGACCAAACGTATTCAGGTATCTAGAAATTTAATCATGTGATATATCTATCCCACATGCAATGGACCAATGGAATTAATTTAGAGTTGGCAGAAAAGTAATAATTTCAGTTTTTTATCCTTAGGTATTGCATGCACTGTTGACTTTTTAAAAATTCTTTTTGTTACTGTTTCCTTTAGGCTGCCTTAAAGTTTGCTTGGTAGCGATAACAAAACAACAACAAAACAAAGTTTATTGTTTATTAACATATTATTTATTTAATACTTGTGTGCAAATGAAAAAATAATGAAAATGTTAAATTTAGTTTCGTAATTGTTCAATAATAAAAAATCTTCTACGAAAACATAATCATACATAACTATGGTTCGTTTTGTTTAATTTTAATGAATTTATATTATGTAAAATATTTTTCTAGAAAAGTATTATAATTTAGTTAAAATAGATTATAGTAGCAAATCTGAACATAGTTTTTAGATATTTTTCTTTTGTTGCCAACTCCAGTGATACATACCAAATGTAACCCAGCAATCGTATCGGCCCCATATTCTGTCATGATAACTGGTTTATTATATCTACGATGCCATGATGTAGCTTCCTCTGTCACGTAAGAGGCGATGTTAAGCAATGATCCCGTGTTAGAGTACCACCCATTGTATCGATTAAAGCAAATAACGTCCAAATGTTGACCCTAAAATGTAAATTTGGTGAACTTAGCTTTTCTGGAGTATAACTGATGAGATTTATCCTGGTGTAAACACTAAATTGGGGATGTGAAAAAATGATCGATTATGGATTTTTTAAAAGTGCAAATCGATTTTTCTGTGTGATTTTAATATTAAAAATAATCGATTCTTTTTATTTTTCATCTGCCACCTCCCGACATTATGTCTGGTCTTTTATAACCCGGACCTAGAACTATTAGGGATATTCGATATACTTCGATGTTTACAATGCGATACATCGGATAGATCCGATGCTTTGGAGATGTATTGATATACTCGATGCATTGATGTTTTTTTATAAAACATCGAATGGATGATAAAACAAGTTAATTTCACAAAAACTCAAGTTTGAAGTAAAACTAAAATAATTTTATTCAGCAGCACAAGGTACACATACAATAAAAAAGACAACAAAAATACTGCAATGTGCTACTGTAAAGGCATATACTTAGCATCTATCAAATTTCACCTAAAATCTATCAAAACGAGATAAGGTTAATTTCAATTTTGATTATTCTAAAACTTTAATTTGTGTAATTAATAAAATTTAAAACATGATACATAAAATATTTAAGGTGTAGGATAAATCGATTTTTTTTTTCAAAATGTCACATCCGGTATCCTTTCACTAAACATTCTTTTCACGATTATGAAGTATTCCTTCCGAATTACTTAATTGACAATTTGAATTGACAAGGTGAAGGGACTGATCACTGAAGGGATTATGCTTATGGAACTAACATCTTATTCATATTTCATAATGATAATCATTATTCATTCCATATTATTGTATTAGTTATTATGTGGGCCGATCCCGGCGGCACTGCAATGCCGGGCCGACCCGTGACAGGAGTGGAGCGAGCCCCGAACATCCCGTCAGTTTCCAAAAATCAGTTTAATATACTGGTCCCGCTGTGCGGGAACTTTCAGATATTAAGCTGAAAAGAACAGATACTACACTTTGATCTTAGCCAAAAGGCCGAGAAGCGATAACATGGGATTGTAATGAAAACTATTTGTACTACCACACCGTTCTAATGTAAGCGCGATTTACAAATACGAGCCGGCGAGTAGCGCCACCTAGTTGGTTATTACGAACTAAAATGTGCCCTTGGTTTGCACCGCGCCGGTATACTGTAATTCAATAGCGTTAGCGATTGCGTTCCTTGTTTAAGATTTACTTGTTTGTATTTTTAAATTAAAAATTGGAACACAAATCTCTCACTCATTAGTATGTGCTTTTTTCTATAGGAATCCATCTGTTTTTATTATATAAGTGAATAGAGTTCAATACGGCTAAAATAAATAAATATGGGACACGTTTAAGTAGGTACTAATTAGTAAAAACTTACTAACCGCTTTGTCATTCAAGTAGGATTGCGAAATGGCTATAGTGACTGGCCTAGACAAATCCATCGATTTCACATGTTTCACAACTTTACTGAAAAATGATCAGAATTTTAAGGTACAAAGTATTAAATCGTTATATTGAAATACATTATACAATTAACGAAGTAGTAAATTTATTTGTTATTTGTTTAATAAATCCAGGTTGTCTTGATTTATTAAACAAATAACAAATGAATTAGTTTTAGATTCAGGATTAACGGGAGCCTCATTCCTGTGGGCCTCTTACGAAATATATGTGTATAATTGTTTTATTAAATCAATACAAAATAAAATGCTGCCCCCATTACAAGTTGACACACTGCCACAGGGACCGGGAAACTTTTTACAGGTTTTCTTTATTATACTTTTCATTTTATCTATTTCTATGTAGGTTAATGTTTGGACTTTGAAATAAAATTTATTTGAATTTACGGGAAATATTAATACACACTAGTCGACGACACAGGAGCGAGGGAACCATCAAAATGGTGTTCCAGTGTTGCAAACATTAAAATATATTTATTGCTCTCGACCCACAGTTAAGAAAATATGTATATAATCTCTTTAATTGTGTGTTATTACAATTTTCTATACTACAATCATGAAAAAAAAAAAAAAATTTTTTATTAACTTTTAGTGCATTTTGGAGTTAACATTTTGCAAGAAGTTTTATTATTATTTATCACATACCAATTAAACTTTGACTTACCCAAAATAAGCATCAGCTTTATAGTTAGCAGACCTGGGTTCATTACTGATAGACCACATCACCACACTTGGGTGGTTTTTATCTCGTCTGATCAACTCGGTGAGAGACTGCTTGTGTTTCTCGAGTAACGAGTCGGTGAATATACTGTAAAATTAATAAAATATAAAGGTTAGCCAAAGCGTACTATTATACTTTCCCTGATTCAGAATCGAGACTACTGCCAAGTATGATTTCCGTACACCAAAAATACATTGAAATTGACATACGCTGAAGGCTGCCATTTATAAACGAGACACTGTAAATGGGATTTTGACTTACGAGAGTCGAACTTTATGGCCACACTGATTCTTACAGATTCCGATATATCGACATGTCAACCCTATTTCTCGCCTTAACATTGCGTCCCTAGGAACGTTTGCCTATAGTCTCCCAAAAGTCTAAAGCTGTTTAAAAAAGCTGTTTTACCTAATAAGTAGCCAGCTCATCGTCTATTTGCTAAACCGAGTAACCGACAGACTCTTCTGGCTTTTAATAGATTTTTATCTACACGTATTTTAATACAGTAGAATCTCGATAACTCGAATGTCAAGGGAAATGCAAAAATTCGACTTAACAAGAACTTCGAGATACATAACATTTAACTAAAATTTCGCCTTAGGATTCCTATGTGTATTTTTCGATTTGTTGTGTGAATTTGAATAACAATTCAACTTAAGTTTTGTAGTATATATGTTTACATATTAACAACAAATAAGGCACATATTTATTAATGAAACTTTACTCTAAAAATATGTATGAATGTATCCATTCATTGCATTCAGGGCCGCGCCGACCCCCGGCAGCGCCTGTGTGCGAAACCCATGAAGCGCCTCCTTTTTCTATAGGGGTCAAACGAGCCTTAGGGACGGAAAAAAATGGCAGTCATTGAATCTCATAGACATTTTTAGCGGGTGTGTTGCAGGCCTTTGAGGGAACTCCTTCTATATTTCGGCCTATTTTTTAAGAATCTTCAAGTTTCAATGTATTTTTTAATTTTGACTGAAAGAAAATTTTTCTTTAGTTTAATCCACTTAAATAGGTAAAACGTCCGCTGGCCAATTGCCGTGAAAAATAAAACGTGAATTAAATTGTTACATAGTTTATTTATGATGTTATTTTTATCTAACCGTTTTTAAGGTCAGATTTATGACATATCTTTGTAATAAATCCCATCTTTTAGTAGAGGACGAAAAATATTTATATAGTTCTTGCACAATATTAAAAAACGCAGTCGTGTATGAGATGTGCAGCGTCATTTATTATTAAATTTAAACTATGGCTGGCGCACGGACATAAAAAGTGCGGAGATTTACTAGTACATCCCGCAATATTCTTACCGCGCATATTTGAGCCATTATCATAGCCTTGCCCCCTTAAGTTCTTTATGTCCAAATTAATTTCGTTTAGTTTTTCTATTATAAATGACGTTACTCCAGCGCCAGTTGTATCTACGATTGAGCAGAAAGTGCTATTATAAATTGGAAAGCTAGGAAATGCTCTCTTATTCTTAACTTTCTAGTTTACATGTTAAAGTTGACAAATCTTATTATCATACTAATTTGCTCTTCGTGTGAAACGTCAGTAGTACAATCCAGTATTATTGAAAAATATTTATTAATTCGACATAAATTTAAAATAAAATGTTGAATTTGGTTACCGAGTATAATAAATAGTTCATTTTGGATTTTATCAAGGTATGTCGGCATATTATTGAAATCATAAGACATAAACACACTCAAAAAACTCACGGCGGTCACCAGCGGCCTTTCTTTTGATTCGCTAAGCTCTGAGTAATTAATGTAAACTAAAACCTAAAGCGTAAAATGAAACTTCAAACGTACGTAAGAATATTGTAGTGTAGTATAAATAATTTCGGTGGCGGCGCCCTTATTGTATCAGCGCCTGTGTGCACCGCACACTTCGCACACATGGGCGGCCCTGAATTTGCATTGTGCAAATCAAAAACAATAGATTAGAAGACCCGAACCCGAACATTCACTTTGGATATTATTGCTATTATTTCGGGGAATTCCAAGTATTTACCAACTACGACTTACGGAGTCTTCGTTTTGAAATTCGAGTATAAATATGTATTATCAATACTTCGTAAGGAAATAACATTTTGTTCGAGTTATAGTAGTATTTTTGGGGTAATTCTTTGTCAAACTAATTTGACGCCAAAGCTAGAAGTTCTAGATTAAAGGTACTTACTCAGTATCACCACTGGGACATTCATCAATGATCATAATTCCCTGCTCATCAGCCATTTGGTAGATTTCTTCGGCGTACGGGTAGTGAGAGGTTCTGAAGGCATTCGCTCCAACCCATTTAATTAAGTTGAAGTTTTTCACCCATAGAACTGGATCCCAGCCTTTGCCTCTGAGCTGAAGAAAATTTAATATTATGGCTGGAGGAAGATTGTTAATATAAAAACAAAAGACAAAAGTATTTTTAGTTTTTAAACGCAAATTCAAAAAAGTCTACTTTCTTTTTTCTACACTAGATTGTTTCCTCGAAACACGAGTTCAAAGTTAAATGTTTTTTTAAAGAACAGGGTGCAGACAAGTGGGATTATTATCTGTGATATCGCCTCCCATTGACACTGCCAGTGTGCTCAGTGCTTTGCCTTTTAAGAATCGGTGCGGTTCAGGGTAGGACGTCGAGGTGATATGGGCGGATTTTGATATTCTGCATGGACGTTCGATGTTCAAAGTTGTTTTCATGGAAAAGAGATTCGTGTCGCGTGTTTGAATTGCACTTGAAATGCCAACCAATCACAATCAAGCAAGTGGCATTTTTGTCCTTCACGGCTTTTTATTGAGTTGTGACCACGGGCCTCCAAGTTTTCCTCATCAGCCATATAGGATTATCGAAAGAAGTATATAAAAATTGTGCAAAAAAATGTATATAGGGATCGCTATTACTATTGAAAGTTAATAGTATAAAAGTTCTTCTGTGTTGACGCAATAATAGAAGAAAACTGAGAAAACAATTGAATAAAAAACAATTCTTTGTTTTAATACTCACATCTGAGTCCTCGTGCATTCCAAATCCTCTGAGGTAGATAGGTTTGTCATTCAAATAAATGGTGGTATTACTCCAAGTCACTGTTCGGATGCCGACCTTTAAACTGTAAGTGTCGACTAGTTCACCCAGTGGCCCTATCAATGATGCCTGAAATTGTTTTATTCTATAACATACTGTATGAATAATAGAGCACGCATTGTTTTGCAATTTAAACAAATCAGCCACGTTATGTAATTTATATTTGCTAAAAATCTCTTCAAAGTGACACGAATGTAGAAAAACTATAAAAGATTATTTGCAACACATACAGCTATATTTGAGACGAAGTTTCATTTTTAACCAACTTAAAAAGTATAGGAAGTTTTCAAATTAACGTGTAATTTTTTATGTACGTTCAGGACATTGGACCGATTTGATGGTCAAGGGGTCAATTGCAGGGAATTGGTCCCATAGAAGTTCATTGTGGAGTCTTTTGTTTTAAAAAAAATCAGTGGTGCTACAACCTCTTTAGGTCTTGGCCTCAGATTTCTGAATCTGTTTCATGATCATTTTTTGAATCTAATAGGCAAGTAGGTGATCAGCCTCCAGTGCCTGACACGCCGTCGACTTTTTACATGTCGGTGTCCTCAAGATGTTTTCCTTCACCGTTCGAGCATATGTTAAATGCCCACATAGAAAGAAAGTCCATTGGTGCACAGCCGGAGATCGAACCTACGACCTCAGGTCTAAGAGTCGCACGCTGAAGCCACTAGGCCAACACTGCTCAACTTTTACTTTTAAAGGACTTTATAAAGTAACCACCCATACATATCACAGTTTAAACCGCAACTTACTCAAGTTTTTATCGGAGTTCCAATAAAATCTACAGGGTAAGTTTAGCACCTTAAATAAAAAAGAGTATACGTCTAAAACCCATATAAGAAGCCTTCCCTACCTTAAAAGTATACAAATACCCCGGCTCGGGATGCATCAAATACGGCCACCAAAAGTTAGCATTGCCAACTTCCATCAGCCCCGCGCAGTCCTGCGATCCGGCCACCTGCGTCCCATTCTTATCGCACAGTTGAATCACACACTGTGCGTTACTTGCACTCTTGTAGGTCACATTGTAAACTACGAAGCCTGGAATTTGTGTCAGTAAATTTCCGATAACTATATCACAAATTGTTTAATTACTGGAAGACTGAGGTGTTCACTTCTTTTGTAAGATAACGCTAATCAATATAATTGAATATTAAACAATTGTTTTGTAATCTTAACTAGGATAGTTTTTTCTTGAATATAATTTATTGATTATTGCTACTTTAAGAGCGAGTACACATTAGGCGTTTTGAAGCACGCGCTTTGGTAACGCGCGTTCTAAGAACTACGAGGTCTAATTAAAGTGTACACATGCAAACGCGCGCTTCGAGCTAAGCGCGTGTTAGGCACGCGTTAATAGATTTTGGTTAGAAGGCGCGACGCGCTTCAAAATACATGAACAGCCATTTTTTGTACTTTCGATAACTCGCTTTTGTAAAGAGTGGACGCACGTTGACGAAAATGGAGAACGATTTGATACGGACTTCTTTATCGATAAAATCCAAAAGCGACCAACTATATGGGATATGGAAAATCCCGATTATATACCTATATTTCTCGAATCGAATATTTTTCCAAAAATATTATCAGTTGTGAACTTGAGCGGTCTTATTATAAATCCGTTATTTATTTTCCTTTAAAAAATGGTAACCATGGTAACAAACACTGTCGTAACCCATGTTTAATAAGGACCAAGATCTTTAATTCAATTAAATTATATAATAAATGCGATGAAACTTGTATGTTAAGTCCTTTGACGGGCCTATTATATTAGTAAAAAATATTACGAGTATTAGTATATTGCATACTGAATAGCAATGAAGCAAGAAACTTCATGTATTATTAATTAAACGATAATTGTTCCAACATATTTTAATTGCTTTAAATGCGGATTATATACACAGATATCGTGACAATGCAAAGATAAACATCTGATTCTGATTAGAAAGAATATAATATAAAAAAATATATAAATTCTTCAAAACAAAAATTACATATTGTTTCGTATATCCATACCGACCCTAAGTTTTAATATTTATCTTCTAACTATATAATAAATAATATTTTTATTTCAAACCACAAAGGTCTATAATATACCAAGAAGAACTAATAAAATAACACATTATTATTTATACCAAGAAATAAAGAAAAAGTTATTATAGATTAGATTACTTTGGTCTTTGCAATCATGTCAGTTCCCAAGTTATCAGCGCAAAAGCTTTAATTAATATAAATTAAATGTTTTGGATGAAGTCTATATACACGGCTCTAGAATATCTTTTAAATGTTACCTGTCAATCCCTGTATGTCCGTGTTAACAATGACGTCATCAATAAAAGTTTGAGGAGTGGAATACAAGAAGACCGACCGATGTATGCCCGCGTAGTTGAAGAAATCGAATGTGTACGTTTGCTCCAGGCGAACTTTGTTGTTCCTGAAATAAAATTATAGTTCTTTTAGATCAAAACATATGAGCATACCCTGACTTTCACACCATCACACAACACGGATGTTTTAGGTATTACTTTGTTAAATATATTCAATTATTTTTGTTGATTTTTCGATTTTTCCTTTCGTAAATGTGTGAACCTTTTTGTTTATATATTATTCCATCTTTAGTATAATTGTTATTTAATTTATGTTAGCTGTAGGATTAGGGAACAAATAAATATGAAAATTCTGGCGTTTCAGGTCTGGGATTCTTGTATTAGTTTTATGATCATTTATTTTTTAATAGCCTATCATTTTGGGCCTATCGATTTCCTCACGATGCTGCCTTCACCGTAGGAGCGAGTGTTAAATGCGCAAATAGTACATTGGTGCAAAGCCGGGTTTCGTACCTACGACCTCAGGGATGTGAGTCACATGCTGAAGCCACTAAGCGCTTAAGATAATAACACTGCTCTTAAGATATATTACTACTAAAATTTGATTTAATGAAAAATAATCAATGAATTTTATCAAATAATTAATGATTTTTATATTTAAAGTAAATGGTATTGTTTTGCTGGCAAACTCTTGACTTTTACACATATTCTATTATATTAAAAGTAGATTAGATTTTGGTTCTATAACAAATTTAAATTTTCAATCATAAAATAAATGACGATCGCAAAACTGGCTTATTATTTAATTCATAATTGTAAAGACTTGTTTAAATGAAGCAAGTTTTGAAGGGAATCCTGTTATCCCGGAACAAAACACAATAATACATTCAATGAATACTACTGATGAACAAGAACATTATATTTGTTATCAAAGGACGCAAATAGTATACTAATTATTACGGAAGTTATATTTCCTTACAAACATTTACATGTTAAGTAATAACCAGTTTAATGATATAATTATCAATTAATTTCGGATTGAAGCTAGCTAGCTTATTTCGTAATACACAAACATGTTATTTTTAAATAAAAGGGACTGCAGCTTTTGCGGAAGGATCAAAAAAGTTTTGGAATAAACTAAAATCAATTTACAAGTTTTTTTTTAATTCTTTGATATAACAATTACTTTGAAGTAATAATGCAACAACCATTTAATATTATATGTATTAAATGGGTATATTTCAAATCAGGGATCAGTCCACAATCAATTTTGTAATTAATTAAGTAGTTATGGAGATATATTCTGTATACCTATAATATATATATTTTGGAGACGATATGTAAAATGCCCTAGGAGCACAATAAAGTATAATATATTTTCCTGTTCAGTTGACGATTCATCCGATTATTTTTGTTATTAATTTTAAAATTTTAGTCTTTGGTACAGAAACAGTTTCGTGGTCTAAGAGTAACAAACATACATTACATATTATACTTACGCAACCATTATGTCGCGTATAGTTCCTTGTGGTACAGTATCACTCAAAAGCGTGTTATCCACAACCACTGTCAGAAGGTTGCTTGTATTATAGTTGACCACATCCGAGATCTCCACTTCAAATGGCAGATGACCAATCTCATGGTACATTACGGACTGACCATTGACCCACTGGAAAATAGATAATCTTATTAATTTTTTTGACTTTATTGGTAACATCTGGTTCTTGGTAACGTCATTTATCTAATTGAAATCGATTTTTTTTATTTGAAGATACAATAACTTCCAACTTAAGGAATCAATAATATAGAACATACAAAAAGTATTAAAATATAATTTGTTCAGATTAGATTGAAAATCACTAAATTTCACAATACTAAAGCTATGTAGTTTAAAGAGATAATATCATTTATATGAAACAAATTAATATGGCATAGGTCAAAGTGTCGTACGCGGCTAATCACTGGGGTCAAGAAAGGTCATGCACTCGCTACTTGACCTATCAGCTGTTCATATTAAATATATTTGCGACCCCAAATAGTGCTGTTATTGTAACCGTATTTTATTTGAAATTTTCACAGTCTAATGGATCTTTTATTTAAGTTAAGTTTTTAAGTTTTTAATTATTACTGACGAAATATCCTAAAAAATGGAAACAAATATTTTTATTGCGGTCCTCTATTTTTAACTGCTACTACGTCGGTTAAATAATTTCATTAAACCACAAGTTTCTTTAGAAATATGCTTTTGCTACAAAAGTTCCCTTAATAATTGGATGCGCAAGGTTTTTTTAAATAGATTCCTGCACTAGGCCTAATATAACAAATATTTAATCATTACGGCTAATAATTATCTTAAAACTAAATCCTTGTTTATTAAAAGCCATCTAGTATTTCTTATCATACTTCAAAATATTAATTGTGAAAATTTACATGAATGGAAATATTGCAATAGAAATAATTTACGTGTGAATTTGTTTAATCTGGGACGCTATCGATGTTTACATTACACAACATGATTAGTAAAGGTTTGGATGTCATATTAGGAAACTGCACGGCTTATTTACATTCCGATTAAATTTTATCGTTTAGCATTACTTGACATGAAAAATTACACGGAAATTTTACTTTTCAATATAGGTTATCGTAGTGGAAAATTAAAGTTTTATTGCAAGATTGTTTTGAACACTCTTTACAATATCAATGTATAACTACAAAGTAGATTTGTATAATTTAGGGTCTGTTTCACAATGTATGGATAAAGTACCAAATAGCTATGCAACACATAAATTATTTGGAAGATAAATTGTGCTATTTGACATTCATCGGACTCATAACTTATGATGGACTTTATGTAACGAATAGCGCTATCTGACAGTCGTGAAATACGATAATAGTGTTTATCCTACCAATAAGTAATGAATAGCTAATTTGGAACTTATGTAGTACTTATCCGTACATTGTGAAACAGACCCTTAATATAATATAAACAAAACCATAACCATTATTGGCAGGATTGGACTGCCGTTTTTTTGGACTATTGTTCAATATAGACGAAAGATGGCGCTTGATTGTGGTTCAGAGCGTCTCCAGTTTGATCTTGTGACTCAATTCATTAGACCTATCACAATCAAGAAAAACGTAGTTTCGTCTGTCGGCGTACATTTGTACCTCACCGATGATTATTCTTACCAATTGTTATAATATAAGTGATAATAATTTTAATTGTTAATTCACTTAATCTTACAACAATACTCAGAGAGTCACGAAGACTCAAAAACCACACACGGTACATATGAGCCATTAATATAATATCTTAAGAATACAAATATTGGTATATTGTAGGAATTCATGCTAAAGTTTTAAATGCTGTATACATCTTGCGTGATAGAAAGATTATAGTCAACGATTTTATAATAGGTTCAATTTATCTCGTAATCTCTAAAGTAAATGCAGGATATCACCAACATTCTTCAGTCAGGGTAAGTATTTCTAGTTTTAACTGGATGATGACTAGATTTCCTTTGACATTACTTTACAAATAATAATCAAACAACATTTATTTCTTATTGATTTTAGTTCTTTATAAAAAAAAACAGTGGCGCTATGACCAGTTTAGGTCTCAGATTTTTGTAACACTTTCGTGATTATTTATATTTTCTAATAGGCTAATAGGTGATCAGCCTTCTGTGCCTGACACACGGCGTCGACTTTATAAGTCTAAGTAATGCCGGTCCTTACGATGTTTTCCTTTACCGTACGAGCAAGTGTTAAATACGCACATAGAATGCAAGTCCATACTGTTCCAAACTACGACTCCAGTCTCGACAATAGATTTACATTTATAATTAATAATAGACTAAGGCTATTTATACTTGTCCTATGACAAAAGTGATGTGACACGTTATTTCAGGTTATAGGTAATTAGGTATAGGCAACACCTGGTAAGTACCAGAGCTCTTGCCTGTCATCGATTCAGTAAATTCCAGCCCGAAATACTTTAAGTTCCAATCCTTATAATTACACTTAAGCTTCGCACGGAACTTCTGAGTGAGCTTTATACACATTTCAGCTTAAGTACGTTGTTGAGCTCCGCTTTTTGTTCGAAAACAAGGACGCTGTATTAGTTACATCTTTTATTCAATTGTTTTTTTAAGACTACAGAAAACATTCCATGAACTAAATTTATATACGTTAAAACATGTTTTCGTTGAGAAGCCGATTTGCTTTTGTTTTTCTACCACGCCTACAGACCACAATACACTTACACTTTAAATATGTTCATTCACATTGAGGTAATAATATGTTTATTGCAATTAAGTTAATACTAAACTATATCTCAAAGAAGAAAGGATTTTAGATTTGATAGCTTGATTTCCTTATCACTAATTGCAGGTAAACAATGTTGTTGAACGAGATAGAGAAATCTAGACCTAAATGGTAAATTCCACAGGATTTAAATTCAAAATTGTTTATTTTATACCATATAGTAACTAAAATTATATACAACCTGTAAATACTAATTACTTGCACTTGTGTGTGTGCACGTGTGGGTGTGTGAATGTGTAATGTTATACAATAAATCCTCGACTTGTGTAATGCTTTGCAGCCATTGGTATAATTGTCGCTTCAACCTATGCAGACTAAGCGGGTTTACATTAACGATCCTGTTTACTTTATTATAACCGTATATACTAACTCATTCTATATATTAATGAGATCCCAATTTTATTGAAATATATGTTAAACGTTGTATAAGGGTTATTTCCATATAAAATGAATCTAACATATCTATCCAACGTTATGTAAGTAAATTCGCACGGGGAGAATATCGGTCATCTTATTCGGTCGACCGAGTTCACTTGACAAATTATCCAATTACCGCACAATTGCCCAGCGACAGCTGAATAACTATGACACCTAAGTCACGACCTGCCCTTCGCAATTACGAAAATACTGCAAACTTTGTTGAAAAATAATATCGCAATAATTTTCTCAATGGCAGAACAGACACAAACGAAATCCGCAATATTTTAACCAAATTCACTGAGATGTTCTTAGATAAGTGATCTTTAAAATTCATATAATTAAACGTAATACTTACTACTTGAGAGGCATAATGTACGCTGCTGAATCTGAGCCAAACTCGTTGGCCGTTCTGACCCCACCAGCTCGGAACATAGAATCGTCTGTCGTACCAGACGAGACCAACGTGATCTCTCAGCGAGGCGTCTTCGCCAATATCATTGTATGACGAGGGTACCGGCATAGGGATCACTGGACCAGTCTGTAAAAATATTGGTATTTGTAGAGAATAAAGGCGATAAAGACAGGAGGAAAGGAACGTCAACTATTTCTATTCTCTTTCATAATTTTAGTCTGTATTATGAATAATTAGTTGTATATGGTGAGCGTCATTGACACTTAGATTTGGTGGTGACTTTTAGTAAAAAAATATTATTTTAATTTCAGCTAGGCATCTGTCAAAACAAATAAATCAAAATGACATTTTCCAACGTGATTGTCATTTAAGCCATTAATTTCTAGTTATCTAGCTTGAGGATTTTATACGACTTCTTTAACAAATTATCCAGTAATCCTAAAAGTCAGTAGGTCATTGTTACGAGGTTACAACTGAATTTTTCTAAACCTATAAAGAGGATATACACGTTTGTTTTAACGTTTGTAATGATAAAGATGTGAAATGCTGCATTTTACAAATAGTGTAAAATGCAGCATTTCTTCTTCAGCATGCTGAGATTACATTATTGTTGATTCTTGTCGTGGTTTTTCATTACAATAAAAACAGTTTAAGTATCCAAAAGCTGCTGAACCGTAATTAATTATATAGGTAATATTGCTAACTATTGTCCAATAATAATAAATACAAAATCGCTGACCGTTATATACAAAAATATTACAAATAATTAGAAAAAAACAACGTAATGTTTTTTACTTTTGACAATTCTGTTTTACCTCGAGCTAACTATTGCTATTCCCATTTTAATGACACATTTCATGTTGCAATACTTCATTGAATTGCAATAGCTGTTAGCTGTCCTGGTAAACTCGTGCAGTGGACCGAAAAAAGACGACGTATCTCTGAGGGCTAAGACTACGAAGAAAAATATGAACAGCATGTAGTTACAATATTAGAAGTTATATCCTAGTTAAATTACGTGAAATATACGTTTTACTCCTAATGAGTTATTAACAATAGTATAAACAACATATTATATCAGAAGGAATTACAAAAAAAATATATGTAACACATTACAACACATCTGTTTTGGCAACTATATTCTTAACAAAGATACATTTTATTGTAATTTAATTGAAAAATAAAGTTAAGAAGAAAATTATAATCACATCGTTACTCCTTGTAAAGTGGAGTATTTCAAACCTTTATCATCATGTGAATTTGTTTAAGACTTTTCTGTTTCCCAGGGAAATTTGCAACATCCGGTCGTGTTGCACCGTTCCTTCACTACTCGTGTCGAAATATGTAATAATAACTCTTATTTAACTTATTATATCTTATTTACTTAACATAAGAAGTAAATGTTTCTTCATAAAGTAGTAGTATAACAAGCAACTGAGAACAATACATTTATTTTAACAACACAAATAAAGGCTCAAATCAAAATATGGAGCCATCGATAATTTCGGCGGGGAAAGAGCTAAGTGGCGGTAATTCGAAATAATTCTTATTTTCTACGCGAAATGGAAATTTATGGGACAGGAAGCAAACGAGTCACTTTTGATAAAGTGATAACCGCTACCCTTGGACACCTGCAATGCCGCGGGTTAGCGGGTGTGTTGCCGATTTTTTTTTAATGGACTCTCGCTGTTGGTCTTAAATGCTCAGCTCGGGCTGTTTTGGCGAGCGTACCTCGGTCGAAAGACGGAAGCTCACTGGAGTGTGCGAAGTAAAGGTCCACGTCTTCCCCGGATTTCGCCTTTTCTTTGCCGCACTTTAATTAGGTTATTTTTATTAGGATATGTCGGGGCCTGCTGCGGGCCTTTTTTGTTTTGTCAGCCACGGGTTGGGACGATGTCTGTTGCCAACCTCTGAAGGAATGGTGCGCTCCTCTTTTGAAGGTCTCTAATTCCTATTGGAAATACCTATACTAGCAGCTGGTTCCACACAGTGGAAAGTGCCTTAAAAAGCGCTGTTAACTTATTATTTTACGAAACTTTCTTGTTTATTTTGGAATAATTAGGGAAATTTTAAGAAAATGCGTTTAATTTAATTATCTTAATTTATAGTATTAACTAATATTCTTACTCTAGATAAAATTATATCCAAAGTAATTAACTAATAAAGATACTTAAAATGTTACAAACCCTTTCAAGATCCTGTTCGAACCATCCGTTTTTGTATCCGAACTCCGGGTCTGTCGGTGATTTCCTAAAGTTCCACACACCATCTAAATTTCGAAGGTCTCTAGTTTCAGTTGCCCGGGGATACAAAGCTGCTCCAGGGTTCACAGTTTTCTTTCTTGGTAATTGATTTATCTCATTTGCAGTAGCTGTGACTGGTACAGTGGCCTCAACGTATGAAACAACTACTGTGCATAACACGAATAAACCGCATCTTCTTAACATTATCTGTAATAAATTAATTTAGCTATAAAATTTAAAAAGAAGAACAAAAAGATGTGTTTATAATAAATTTAATGTAAATCCCAATAACTCTATAAAGGCGAAATTAACTTTATCTGTTTAACATAGGAGCTTACATTGGGAAAGGAAATAGGTACCTGTTATTGAAAAACACAAAACTGTGTACAGACTGCCTAAATAGGCACTTTATAGATATATAATGGTTTGGCGTTTTTTTAATATCAGCCTAAGTTTTATATATTTTAGTATGAAAGACGAAATATCGCTGTTCATCGTAACTATGCACCTTTTTATTAGAAAGATTTTGTTTTACTATTTACTGTAATTTAGACTGCCCAAAATGGTGGAAAATAAAATTAACACAATGAAAAGAATATCTGTTTATTACAATTAACTTTTATTCCAATGTTTTATAATCTGTAATTTATTTAATAAGGTTATCGAAGTCTTGTTTAAAACAAACTTTACTGGTTAATTTACTAATTCAAATTGAGATCAATTATAAGAGTTCAATAGCACTTTCTGTGTACACGACATGCAATGCGACGCTCTTGCATCTTAATCCAGAATTTCACTTTCTATGAATAAAATCTATGCGTCTCATAATATCAATGTATAATAAGTATCAATGTTTATTACACAACGTGTTTAGGTTATCTCTATAGGTTTAAGACATATTTTCGAATTTTATTTATAGAAAATGGCAGAGGGCTCGCGAGTGCGTGGTCGGAACCTAAGTCGAATTGGTTCGGAAATATTTCAGTGGGAAGCTGGTTCCACAAAGTGGTGGTGCGCGGCAAAACTGCCTTAAAACGCTCAGTTGTGTAATGGCGAGGTGATAATCACCTATACCAAAGACATAACACTCTTTACTTAGCCACACGGGTCAACTTGGAAATGTGACTCGGGGAGTGTGGCCATCGGGAAACAATGGACTCATCTGCTTGTCATGCGTGGGAGGCAGGGTAGATTCCCCTAATCTGAGGGAGTACCCTTCACTTGTGAGCAGCCATGTAGCCACCACTAACTTATTTGTGAATGACATGTAGTGGTAATCACTTCACATTGAGTGAACCTTTTGCCAAAATGATCTTAAAAAATATTCATTTTCAAACAACTTCGCTCCGGCCATAATACTTTGTCTTTTAATACTCTAATTTTAAGTGGATCTATTCACTTAGACTTGAACCTTAAGTGCGAATGTCTAAAACAATTTTATGATTAAGATTTTTATCTGGATTTCATCACGGAAGTTATTATCTCGTAAGATTTATTTAATTGTTGATAAAATATCACTTATATTTCTTTTGTTTCCGTTCATATTCTTCGTGAAGTTCAGTGTGAATGTAAGGATCAATGTGGCACTACAAGTCATAATTGGACTTGATCCCAGACTTCTATAGTTCTTCATAAGCGCGATTTATGAAGATAACATCCCTATGCTTATATTGTGAGGCTGAAGTGTGGGCTTTTATTTTATCAATAATGAAACACGTCAGACACATCACAAATACAAGATACATTAAAAAATATATACAAGTTATAATAAAATGTCCTTAAATTGTTTCACAGATAGATTATATTTTTTATAAAAGTATGAGTAACACAACTAAATAAAGAGAAAACAATAATAGGCACGAAAACGTAAACGGAATTTGGAGTAAATGCAAAAGATAAAACAATTACAACAACGATTTTAAAAGGCGCTTGAAAGCAGTAGGGGAACACGAACATATATCAACTCTGAAAATCTTGAAGAATTACATATTATATATACTAAGAGACCTGGCTGAAACATGAAAGTTTATTAGACCGAGAAATGCGGAGGATGTCAGCTCGCCGGCTTTTTCGTGAGGGTAGTGCAAACAATTAAAGTTCGGCATTGATTAACGTGTCTTCGGTAGTATGTAACTATTGGTCCGAATTGAAAAAAATATTTTTATCCTGCATTTATTGGAAAAGGCAATATTAAATCACGCAAGCCAAGCTGCGGGGTACAATTAATTCGTAATATAATTCCCTGCATAAGATAGAAAACGCAATCAAATATTTTTCTAGGCTGGTGCTTGTTTCGAGGGATATTTACCTTACACGTGTCGTGAACAATCAATCTTAAAAGGCTGTTAGTATTTCCATAGTATTGGTATTTACTCACTTTGTTACAAAAATTAACACGCACTTTTATTATTAGCTGTAAGTATATTATTACCATAGGACGTAGGTCTTCGAAGTTGGACACAAGAAGCACGAGATAGACTGTACAAGTGTACAGTGTACAGCTATTGATGAATTACAAATGATTTGTTAACTTTGAAAACCACGACTATTTTGATAAATTGACCACAAATAATAGAGTTCTGAATTTAATGTGAACTTTTTATCTTACAAATAATGTTAAACCAAACAATAATGTTATCATTAATTTGTGTCGCGTTGATCAATTAACCATTGATAAATCATTATTGCATTATAAAATCTATTATAACAAGATCTTTATCGGGCTTTTATTAATTATATTAGTTTACGCAAATTTCGTCGAAATATAAACAAATTTAAACGTCTCACCTTACCCGTGTTGGGACTATTGTTATTAATGAACTACACCGTTCGTTAGCACAGCCAATAATGACGGCATTTAATTATCTATCTAATTTAAATAGCAGATGTTAGCAAGGCTATTCTGTAAAACCGAGACTGGTCCCAAATCATTTAATAATTTATTGGAATTGTTTGTTTATTAGTATGGGAAACAAATTAAACTTCCAATAATTATCATGTCATTGTAAGCAACATTTTCATGGGTATGTTTGTTTCAACTTCTAAGCCCATGGTACGGAAACTAAATATTAAAATTGGAATCGTTAATGACAGGGTAAACCTGCTGATAGATTCCTCAGATAGTTGACGAAATTGATGCTCATACCAATGTTTTATTGCAAAATATACTTTCTAGAGCATGCGCATAACTCACTTTGAGATTCCACACACCAGCATGTACTATATAGGTATGGTATGTAGTCTATGTAAATACATGAGCTTTAAATGTCTGTTTATTATCAACGGCTGTAATATTGTTTTTTTTTTAATATGGTATAAGTCTGTTTTGAGTATTGAATGGTTGGTTATATAAATTGATATAGAGTAAGTAAAAAGTTTATGAAGAAGAAGTATGTTGTTCATGTATTCAGAATAAAACAGTTTGACTCAATTATTTCACAATTTTTTACCCAAATAAAAAGGAAAATTGTTTTCAGTCGAGTTTGCCAATAAATAATTTATTGTTAAATTAAGTATAGATTATTTTATTATTAATATCTATATTGTGGGGCTTTTTGTGGAGGCTGTAGCCCCTAAATCCGGGGCTGGTTTGATGGACCGAAACTTAACAAACCTAAAACAACTCATTTATTTTGCTATGAAAATGGCCATATAAGAGTGTGACAACAATGCTAATTTTTGAGGTTGTGTAAAGTAAACTGTGTAATAAGAAGTAACATATTATGCTGTAAAGCGTTGCGTTCGTTATGTAATAGGGTTTATTTTAGTATTTTTAAAGATGAAATGAGAGTTTAAAAGTATGTATGGAAACAATTTTAAAATCTAATATATAAAATTCTCGTGTCGCGGTGTTTGTGGTTAAACTCCTCCGAAACGGCTTGACCGATTCTCATGAAATTTTGTGTGCATATTGGGTATAACTGAAAATCGGACAACATTTATTTTTCATCCCCCTAAATGTAGTCCACCCCTTATTTTTTTATAAATTATTAAATAAATTTTTTAATTTTTATTTTTTTATGATACAGCATTAAAAATACATACAACCACAAATTTTCACCCCTATACGATCAACCCCTATTTTTTATTATGAATGATAAACATGGCAAAACGACGTTTGCCGGATCAGCTAGTAAAACTATATAACGCTCGGAATGCAATGTTTTCAATCAGTCGAGTATGCTTGGGAAAATTCTCATGATGCCATTGGAGTTTTTTGCGACTTATCAAAGGCTTTTGACTGTGTCCATCACGAAATCCTAATCAAGAAACTTCAACACTATGGCATTGGCGAAAAAGCGCTAAATCTTGTGGAATCATACCTGAGCGATAGAATTCAAAAGGTATATGTAAATGGAGCTATATCACAGGGATCCTCTGTTACTATGGGAGTACCGCAAGGCTCCATACTTGGTCCCTTCTTATTCCTCGTCTATATAAATGACCTGCCATTTCTTGTAAAGGAGCTTCACGAGATAGTACTGTTTGCTGATGACACTTCGCTTTTATTTAAAGTGAAACGACAAAATCCATCACTTGATAACGTAAACAGTGCCATCTCCAGTGTAGTTCACTGGTTTAATACAAATAATCTTAAGTTAAACGAAAAGAAGACAAAATGTGTTAAATTTGTAACTACAAATGTAAAAAGTAGTCATTCTCAAATAATAATTAAAGACGAGGAAATAGACTTTGTTGATAATGCGGTGTTCTTGGGAATTACTTTAGATAGTAAACTCCAGTGGGGCCGACACATAGAAGGTCTTTCGAATAGGCTAAGTTCCGCAGCGTTCGCAGTAAAAAAGATACGCGATCTTACGGATGAGAACGCAGCAAAGCTTGTTTATTTCAGCTATTTTCATAGTATTATGTCATATGGTGTTATTTTGTGGGGTAATGCAGCTGACATTAAATCGATATTTGTAGTGCAAAAGCGGGCTATAAGAGCGATCTGTGGGTTGTCCCCACGGGAGTCGGTCCGAAGCAAATTTAAGGAATTACATATCACTATCACTCTGGCAAGTCAATACATTTATGAGAATATTTTGTATGTGCGGAAAAATATAGATATCTTTAAAAAGAATAGTAGCTTCCATAATTATAGTACTCGTAATAAAGACAAAATTAGCGCACCAACCAGAAGGCTGCATAAAACGAGTACATAATTCTTTCCAAGGCAATTGTATACGTTTTTTCAACAAAAT